CGAGATCTTCTAGCAGCTGATCGACGTCTCCTTTGTGCAGATATTACAAATATTGCAAACGCTGAGGAAAACTGTACTAGGTAGGGTTGTGGAGTTACTGATAACATACAAGCTCAGGGAAAGATGGTTGTATCTTTAACAATGAACATCATAATGACAAACAGCAGAAAACATAAATGGGTTTGCATACACCATAGTATGAGATTATATACACAGAAAAAGAGGCACAATGACAAGGTTAGATATCTTTGAATAATCATAATATTGCATTTGTTGTTTATAAACCGGAGGGATGAAACGGAGTTAAATTCAACAAGAAAAAGAGGAAAACAAAAGGAGATTTAAGCCGGTTTTGCTTGTGGGTTAAAGATTTTGCACATAAAATAAAGTAACAACATATTCAAGAGATAACGATTTTGGGGTTTCGTAAGGAAAAATAATATATTTAAGGATTAAATTGTGGGTCATTTTAGTATACAAAATTCAAATCAACCCAAAATGTATTGGTATACTACAATCACAATAAAAGGGCAGCTGTTTCTTCAACAAGACCACAAAATGAGCAAATTTCATAAACATGAAAATATTTACAGAGAGATCAATTAAACCTGCTGTTCATATATTTTAAGTTGTAGCGCTTGTAACGTCGTAGATCACATGATAACGTCAACATGGCGGATGAAGTCCGGATCCTCAATGAGATTTGGCTGTAGAGTACCTACTCTTTTAGCGCTCGTTAAGTACTTATGGAAATTAAGTACCTACTCATTGAGTATGCCATTTCGGACGCAGCTAATGTCTTTATGAATGGGTAATCATGAATCACTGACTCACTAGATTAGTTCAAAAACACACTTTCATTCATGAATTAAACACTGCGGTGTTTGCTTTTAGATACGCAGCGGCTGAGCGGTTACTTTATTTGGAACGATTTTCATTGATGAAATGGTTCAGTAAACAAGTACTGCCTTTTTTGCTCCATTGTATTAAATCAATATCATATTTGCAAACTCCTGTAATAATTATTAAAAGCAGTCACTCTCCTTATCGCGATCTGTGGGCGCACAGAAAATTATTTCTCACGACTCAAAAGCAGGTGCAAATGATACCGTCCTCCGTCATCGTGTTATAAGCGCGGAACCTGCGGGAATGGGAATTATTAATAGCCGCAATCCCGCGCCGAGTCCTGCTCTGTGTTCTCTGCTAATAACCAGACTGTGAATGATGTGAGCGGCATTATGTCGTCAGTGAGAAGCTGCAGCCGTGGCGGGGAGGATTTTTGGTGCCAGCAGAACAATGCGCTACATGTTTCTTCTCCACTCATTTTTTCCAATTGAAGGAAATCCGTCGTAGCGACGGAAAAACTTTCATCCCTGCGATTGGATTCGACTGAAAGAAAAAAAAGTCATATACAGCTAGAATGGCTTGAGGGTGAGCAAATCATGGGGTAATCTTTATTTTTCGGTGAACTATCCCATATATTCTGACACACATGGATGTCTCTGGGCTCAGCCCCGGGTATCCACTCGCTCTAGAACTGCCCCTGATGTATTGCTCATTGATAATGTCATTAAACTAATTGGACCTGATTGTAAAGTGTTACCAATGTGTCAGCATTTCATTAAAATCCTGCCGGAATGTCCATAAATCAAGTCAAAGCAAAGTTTTATCTATTTACAGGATTTATTTCAGGGATTTAACAGATTTAAAAGCAAAACAAATGAAACTTGCTCCCTCCTCATCACAACACCATCAGCCGGAAAGGTTCAAAAGCATGGGATCATGTGCAGTCTGTGTTTGGTGTGCCGTTCATTCACACAAACGTGACGCGTGACCGCGCCTGGTTGATCTGCCACACGTTCAGCTCCTCATACTCGTCCAGAGCAGCCTGGAACTGCACAGGAGTGAACCCACGAGACACGCAGCGCTGCTCGGCCTCGGCCACACGAACAGACCTCAACGCACCTTCACCGGCCAGCTCCCGCAGCAGAGAGAAGATCACGTCAGCGGGACGCTGTGACCTGCAGACAGACAGAGAGTGAGCCGCGGGCACGCTGCAGTCAGCAGTCAGTAGTGTGTGTGTGTGTGTGTGTACCTGGTGTTGTTGGTCTTGTCGGCCTGCAGCGAGTCTTTGCTCATCTCCATCAGTCGCATGGCCTCATTAACATCCTCCTTCTCTACAACATCCACCATCCGCAGACGAGCCTGAACACACACACACACACACCTGAAGTCACATCCTCAGCTATCAAGTGTGTGAATGTCACCACATTCCGCAAATACAAATGATTTTTCCAAAGTCAAGTGTACTTCAGGCAAATGGATGAGTTGTGCCGGCACTGTCAGACCGAGACAAGTGCAATGCCTTGTGGGAAAGCCAGCAACTGCCCAAGTCTCCGCCTCTCAACACCAGCTAGTCTCTGCAACATGCGTCTGAGCGCTGCAGCGTGTCGCGTGCGGTCAGTTTTGCATGGGTTTGCACAGCGGCGTGACCCGAGGCTGACTGCCCACCCCGCAAAGCTGACCGTCATGCGACAAACATGGATCTCTGCATGTCAGCTGACGGACCGAACCTGTGCCAGCGGCGGCGTGTGTCGTGAAGTGCTGCTTCTACAGTAGAGATGAACACAGCTACCTGCACAAACAGCACTTTTAACGCCCGGCGCCCACATCAGACCAGCTCCAGAGATCCAAGTCCTGCTGATGATAACAGTAATGTTCTGCTGCAGGGGTGTGAGTGAGAGTGAGAGAGAGTGTGTGTGTGTGAGCAAGTGTGTGTGTGTGTGTGAGCAAGTGTGTGTGTGTGTGAGCGAGTGTGTGTGTGTGTGTGTGTGAGCGAGTGTGTGTGTGTGTGTGAGCAAGTGTGTGTGTGTGTGAGCAAGTGTGTGTGTGTGAGCAAGTGTGTGTGTGTGAGCAAGTGTGTGTGTGTGAGCAAGTGTGTGTGTGTGAGCAAGTGTGTGTGAGCGTGCGTGAGTGCGCGAGCGAGCGAGAGTGCGCGAGCGAGCGAGTTAGGGGTGTGCGATATATATCGTCTGCGATAATATCGTAATTGTTGTTTTAACAATGTGCAATTTGACATTGAATATTTAGCAAAAACCAAACTAAACACCTCTACAGAGCACACGCATGCATCACGTGAAGTCTAGACTAGTGCGCGTGCGCATTTAGAGTGTTTTCTTTCACTGCATGATTCAGGCTATTATAATGCATTTAGAATGATCACAAATTCAAGACATGGCAGAAAATTTATATATTTATACCACTTCATATAGTTATTAAATTTCACACGAAGAGTGCCGGTTTCTCCAAAAATGACCGTGATTACAAATGTGACGTTGAATTCAATAAACAATAAGTTAATTAGGAGACTTACGTTTTAGACGCCATATTGCTTGTTTTTGCTCTATTTCACCAACAAAAATCATCCCGAATACAGCCACAGCGCTGTTCTGCGTCTCTGAGCAACATGACGGTGTTTCGTTCCTGAATGAATCACTCGTTTAAATGATTCGGTTCAATCGCAATGACTCACTTATTAACAGTGATTTGCTGCCACCTGCTGGCGGCTTTAATTTCACATTTCGGCTTTTTCTTTTTTTTTGATTTTCTTCATGTTTTAAATAATTTCAAATATCAGTATTTAACGTTTTATGTTTAATATATCAAAACATTATTTATGCATTTGTAATTGCAGGTTAAAAGCATTCGTGTCTTGCATTAAACAAAGTACATGTGTGTAAATGCATCTAAATGCAGCTTCAGATGCAGCTTCTGTGTTGATTTAATTTGCTCGGTAACAGCCCAAATGTCTTATTATTCTAATTCCCTGAGTAAATGTAAGAATTTGACTCAAAAGATAATGGACACTTTTAGAAAAAAAATGGCTTTATGAAAAGGTAAAAGTGCCCATAAAATGCAAAAATCAGTTTAAACTTATTGTAAAATATGAATTTCTATCAGTATGAACTGACCACCACACAGAATATGAAGAATATTAAAAACATTAGGAGTCAGCTGTCTTCGGCAGTCCTTAAGGTATCAGCACAATAACACACTCAGTATGTGAGTGTGTGAGAGTATGTGAGTGTGTGAGAGTATGAGTATATGAGTATGTGTGATTGTGAGTGAGTATGAGTCTCACCAGAGCAGTGGAGAGGCGCAGGATGGACAGCAGCGTTCGGGCCGAGGTGAACGTCGTGTCCTTACTGACTCGTGCCTCTTTTCTCATCTCTACATATGCGGCTGTGATGTAATCCGACAGAGCCTCAGGAACCACCGGCTGCTTCTGCTTACACTTACTGATGTAACGCCTGACAGAACCACAGACAGATGAATGAACATCAGGTGATCCAATCGGGTTCAACAACATCTGCAGTGTAAACTATCACTGATCATGCTGCACAGACAGACACTATTACAGCACAACAAAACTTTATAGCTCAAATTGAATGTGTTCCATAATTGAAATTTGCATCAACAATGATATTATCCTTTTAATTACTTTATTCCTTCACTGTTGTCCAGGATCTTTAACATTAATAGTTTGTGATTTCTCTGAATGCAGTGAAACAGCTGTTTTCAGTGCTGAACACTTAAATACTGACACATGCTTTATAATGTGGGCAAAAGAAAGGTCAAACAACAGAAAAAGAAAAACTAAAGCACAATCTAAGAGTTCACAGGAAAGAGACACATCCTGTCAACAGATGATTTTCTGTAAATCACAGGTCGAGTCAGGGTTGGGCCGATAGACGATGACAGACATCACAATGTTGAGCCGGCATCGAATTGAATTACATTCAAAACAGCTCAATGAACAATTTAAACAGTAAATATTTTATTGTGCAAAAAAAAAAGCCAAATGAATTATAGGCTAGATGTTTTACACAAGCTAAACAAAGCGTACAAAAACAGCAACAAAATGAGAAAATTTGACTAATAAATATATTACAATACAATTAAAATAGCCTAATAATAATTCAATTTAATATTTTAATCATCTGACGTCCGCATCGCTCTTAGGCACAGGTATACTTCACTTTCTGCACTCCGTTCCGTCTCGCTCTCAGCTGCCCTGAGTGCCGACAGACGAGCTTGAGACATGCGCTAACACCCCCCCACGCCCCGTCAACACCACATGATAACACCAGGTGTGAACAGCTGTGGCCTCAGACATGCTAGCGTAATGCGGTTAGCGTGTTTACCTCATGAGCTGCATGTGGATGGGGCTGAAGTGTGTCGGCGGCTGCTTGCAGTGCTGGTGCACGTATGTGATGTGCTGAGCCAGACGCAGGTCGTTGTCTGCATCGGGTTTGTCCTGAATGAGCCACAGCAGGTCGAAGCGCGACAGCAGCGCCGCCGGCAGCTGGATGTTCTGCTCGAGGGTTTTGCGAGGGTTGTAGCGGCCGTACGCCGGGTTCGCCGCCGCCAGGATCGAGCAGCGTGCATTCAGAGACGTCATGATGCCGGCCTGAGACAAAAACCACACAAACACGTGATGATGGGGTCAAAGGTTGCTAGGGTTGGGTATCGAATTCGGTACTTTTAAGGCTACCGACCGAATTGCGTCGGTACTACAGAGTACCGATTCACATTAAATCAATCAGTGCCAGATTTCGGTAGCTGAGAACGCATCTGGGCGCATACGCTACAGAGAGAGAAAGAGAGATCCTGTGACGTGAGGTCACCCCTGCAACTCGTTCAGACAACACACAGGGCAAGCCGAAATGTTCTGAAGTGTGGTTACATTTCTAAAGCCATACGGTTTCTGAGAAAACACGGACAGGATCACGGAGTCCATTCATAAAAACTTAATTTACTCTATAGCACGGAATGCCACAGAATTAGTCAATTTTGAATGAATCAAACGCGGTTTTGTTTACTACAGAAATACTGAAGCACGCATGACGCTCGCGGTGATTTTCAGCCTCAGCGTCTCACTATGTGACGGCATGAACAAAGACTTAATCTCCAGAGCTGCTGTGAGAGTCACTTCACGAGAATTTGACCGTTTCATGAGAAAACTAGCATCATCATACTGTATACACGCAGAAACTTCATGGCAACCTGTCAAAATAAAAGTGCGGTTTAACATGTAACAGAAATATATTACTCTTGTACAATAGGTCTTTGAATATTCAATTTTCTATCAAATTTAAATAAAACAATTAAACGATAAAAAAATAAACATTACAACCAGATTAATCAATTGTAGAAAAAAAAATGCAGTGAAAGAAAAAGAAAAAGTTTGTAGGGCCCTGTTGTTCAAAATGTTGAAATTGAGACTTTTGGACTTATTTTTTCACTGAAATAAATGTTTTTGTAATTACACGGAGTAAAGTACCGGAAAAAGTTACCGTTGGGTACCGGCACCGGAATTCAGGTACCGTACCGGTTAAAATGTGAGCGATACCCAACCCTAGAGGTCGCCCAGCCCGAGCGGATTGCACTGTACCTTGGCGATGGAGATGGTCTGCTGCTCCATGACCTCATGAATGGCCGTGCGGTCGGCGTCGGCCATCTTATCGAACTCGTCGATGCAGCACACACCCAGATCAGCCAGCACCAGAGCGCCGCCCTCCAGCGTCATCTCACCCGTGACCGGGTCACGCATCACCGCCGCCGTCAGCCCCACACCGGACGAGCCGCGGCCTGTCGTGTACTGACCTGCAACAGAGCGCCAGAGTTAGCCGCGGGACGCTAGCGGACGGAGGAGCGATGCTGCGGGCCACACTCACTGCGAGGAGCGAGACGGTCAATGTAGGACAGCAGCTGAGACTTGGCCACACCCGGATCTCCCATCAGACAGATGTTAATGTTCCCTACAAACACAGACGCATTGTCAAACAGCGCTTCATACAACAGACTGTCACAACAGCTTCACATTAATAACAAACATCAGACAAATCCTAATTCTGCTGTACAGCAATAATTCCCCCTAGTACAGTGTTGATTCAATGCAGCTCAATATCAGTGTCAAAGTTATTATCGAGTCCGATGTATTTGTAAAGCTCTTAAAAAAAACAAGCTGCTTTACAGAAAATCATACTGTCATATTTATAATGCTGTAGTGCTTTAATATAGAGTAAGTTGAGGATTGGGCGATATGATGATATATATATATATATATTGATCTTCCGGATTCAGATGTAACTGTTGTATTTATGGTGTTTTCTGGCACACATATCAGTGCTGCAGTGACTCAAACACACAACTGAGATTTAAATGCTGCTCGGTTTTGTTCAAAGCGAATGCAAGTGATTCTCAAACAGTATGAATGATAATAGTAATGTTATTGTTGTTAGAGGTGAAATCTGATGTTCGGACTTAGAATTAGGAATTACATAATGGCCAGTTTTGCTACAAGACAGAAACAACTCTCAAAAAGCGTCAATGAATATACACTCAATTATCTTAAGAGAAAAATAACTGGTTATCAAAGAGTCTGATGTGAGTTTAATAATTTCATAATGTTATCAGTCATTTAAGTGTTAACGTTGAGCTGAATTGAGTTAGTTTTCTTCTCATGCAGCATCAGCAGCAGCAGACAGACGCGTCTCACCCCTGATCTTCATCCCACGCGGCGCCTGCTCCACTCCACCCACCAGCAGCAGCAGCAGCGCCTTCTTCACGTCCTCATGGCCGTAAATCTCCGGTGCGATCGATCCCGCCAGCTTCTCGTAGAAATCCTCCTCTACACACACACACGTGAGTCCAGAGACACGTCACAACCCTTATAAACCCCACACAGACACGACGTGTTACCCGTGATCTGACGCAGCTCTTCATCACTCAGCTCTTCAGTTCCCAGCTCATCATCCTCAGTCTTATTCATCAGAGTGATGCAGTGACACTCCAGATACGTCTCTGACAGCAGACCCTGACACACACACACACACATCAATAACCCTACACACACACACACACACCAGACATATCTGAACACAGTAAAACACAGAGCTCGAGGTCATGTGACCATACGTTTAGATAGTCTTATGCTGCATCCCAATTCGCTTACTCATACTACACCCTTAAAAGACATCCTCTTTTTGTGATGAAAAAGTGCACACTTTTGAGTGTGTAGTAGAAGAGCAGGCAAGCTTTGGGACAAACTATCACATGATACAACTGTGTCTTTAACATACCCTCTGTCGCATAATTACACGCACACTGTCACTGTAAACTGACCCGTCAATCATCTCGTCACAGTTAACATCCACATTTCATTTCATTTAACTTCCTACAATATCAGAGAGAGAAGTCGCACGTTGATCTGCCAGCCGCGGGTCTTTTATGCGGAGAACTCTGCTCAGATTTTTTTGTATAATGATGCATTTATAAGTTAATAGCCAAACTGATCTTTATTAAAAGTTCACATTGTTGTTGCAGATGAAATATAAAACAGATAACATTAAATATATATATTTTTTACCAGCTTAAAATGTTGATGATTAATAACTCAAGCCCCTTTATCTAAACCTCTCTACTCAATCGTCAGTCGCGCACATCCGCCATGTTTGTAGTTTTTTTTTAACGCTTTTTATTCATGTTTGTAGCTCTGAACTGAATCCTTCACAGCGCAATGGATTGTGGGTAATATTAGCCATTAGAGTGCACAGAGTGTTTTGGCGTACTCTTCAACATACTATGCTTTGGGACACACTTACTCTAATCTCACATAACATTTAGGATGGATAGTATGAACATTGGGACACAGCAATACAAATGTAGAGGGGGACTTTTTCTGCCCACTGTGTGTTGATAGGATGTTGAGATGTGTGTGACGTCTGTAAAGCGTGTCACCTGTACAGCCTGTCTGAATCCGGAGCGCAGCAGAGGAAGGAATATTCCAGAAACAGCCACGTGATCTCCAGGCTGCGCCACACGCGTGTTCTCTCCGCGGGCGTAAATGGTCATGCTGCGGGGGATGTTTCCCACCGGCACCTGATCGCTCTGAGCACACACACACAACACAATCAACACTCTGCATGATCTACTCAGCCAGACAGACGTGACGCTCTCACACACTCACATGCTCCTGAATGCGCAGCTCCTGGAACTTGATGAACTTTGACCCGCGTGTCTGCAGGTACAGCCGTCCTCCAGACTTGTTGGTGACGCACTCCTGACTGGGACACATGATGAGCGGCGTGAAGCTCGGAGAGGCGATCTGAGCAGCGGCAAGAACAGGACTCGTGTTAGCACACACACACACACACACGAGTGCTTAAAGACACGCATGCACTAATGAGCTGCGCACCGGCTGGTAGGTCTCGGCTCCGCACTGATCGCACGTGTACGTGGCCACAGTCATCATGGGTTTGACCTCCGTGGCTCTGGTGACGATTCCCCTGACGGTCACCAGCTGACCGATGCCGTCAGCCTTCACGTCACGCACCACCTTGGGCTTCAGCGTGGACGGAGGACGGAAATAAACCTCACTGAGAAACACACGATTCATGCAATTATAAACCAGTGAGTACAGCATGACAAACACGATAACATCTGCCACACACTGAACTCACCTGGACACCAGTCTGTGTGTGTGTGTGTGTGTGTGTGTGTGAGTGAGACAATATCAATTACTCAGTCATAACCCATTCTCATTTTTGATGATCAATCTCAAGACTTCACAAAGCATTAGCTGTAGCGCGCCTGTCATCTGATAATCAGTTTGTTTTGCGTTTTGTTACTAATACATGCACTATTTTATGTATTATATTCTGACTGATGTCTTAATGATTTAAGGAGACATACATTAAATAATGAAAGTTTGTATGCCACCGTTTAAATGTTTATTTCCAGACATCCAGCAAGATTTAATGTTAAATATTTTTTTTATAGGTTAATAATCAGGGTCTGCACTCAGTTTGTGATATTCCTGTTATACAGTATTTTAGAGTAAATAGTAGGGATGCAACCAGGGTTTGAAATTAACACCCGCCAAATGCGGGTAAAAATCAGCTGTGGCGGGTAACGCTGTCAAATCACTAGCCAATTTGGCGGGTTACTTTTCGTAAATTATGTTCACTCATTCATTTCTTTGGGAAGTTCATACAGGCCAAATCTGCGCAGGTTTAGTGCAAATACTGAACTCGTGAGACATCATGACATTATCGAGTATACTGCAAACACTAAACAAAACACACCTACAGAGGCATGCATACGCGACGTGATGAAGTCTGGTTAGAGTAGACCAACACTGGCTTTAGTGCGCGTGCGCATTTAGAGTGCACTCTTTCACTGCATGATTCAGTCTATTAATATGCATTAACAATGATCACATACTTCAAGATAAGGAGGCATTCTTTGGGAAGTTCATACAGGCCAAATCTGCGCAGGTTTAGTGCAAATACTGAACTCGTGAGACATCATGACATTATCGAGTATACTGCAAACACTAAACAAAACACACCTACAGAGGCATGCATACGCGACGTGATGAAGTCTGGTTAGAGTAGACCAACACTGGCTTTAGTGCGCGTGCGCATTTAGAGCGGTTCTTTCACTGCATTATTCAGTCTATTAATGTGCATTAAGAATGATCACATAATTCAAGGTAAGGGGGCAGAAAATGTATATATTTATATCAATTCATATATTTAATCATTATCACACGAAGAGTGCCGTTTTTTCTTTTAAAAAATCAGCATGGTTACAAATGTGATATTGATTTTATACAACAGTTCAATAAACAATAAGTTAAAATCAAGAGACTTACGTTTTAGACACCATATTGGCTGTTTTTGTGCTATTTCTGCACCATTTCACCTACAAAAATAATTCCAAACACAGACACAGCACTGTTGTGCGTCTCTGAGCAACATGACATTGTTTTGTTTCTGAATGAATCAACCGTGTAAATGATTCGGTTCAATCGCAATGACTCACGTAACGGTAACTTGCTGCCACCTAAATACAGCCCAAATTTATTATTATAATTGACTGATTAAATGTAAGAATTTGACTCAAAAGATGTACAATTTTAGAAAAAAATGGCTTTATAAAAAGGTAAAAATACCCATAAAAGGTCAAAATAAATGTAAACTAATGTAAATGTAAATCACTGCTGTGTACTGACCACACAGAATATGAAGAATATCAAACTTTAGGAGTCAGCTGTCCACTGTAGTCCTTAAGATATCAGCACAATAACACACTCAGCAAAATAGTCTAATTATCTTTATCGATAAAATCCCAGAAAATATTGTGATATTATTTGTTATTAAACGATATGATTTGCAACGGTCGCTTTGTCACGCCCAGTGTAGACGGGCTCAAACTGTTGGTTTATGTCTTTTTTTTTTTTTTGGCTAGTAAAAGTTATGATTGGGCGGTAACTTAAAAATTGAGTAGCCAAATTGGCTGGTGAGTGAAAAAGTTAATTTCAATCCCTGGATGCAACAAATAAATACCTCAGTTTTTTCATTTTTTTACCACAGCTTTTGGTTTAGTTCTCTTTTTGCTATTTTGAAATGTTATTTAAAGGGGTCATATGATGCGATTTAAATTGTTCCTTTCTATTTGGAGTGTTGCAAGCTCTTGGTGCATAAAGAAGATCTGTAAAGTTGCAAAGACCAAAGTCTCAAATCCAAAGAGAGATTCTTTATAAAAGTTAAGAGTCAGCCACACCTACCTAAAACGGCTCGTTCTGACACGCCCCCACATCTACATCACTATGTGGGAAGATTTGCATAACGCCGCCCAAATGTTCACGCAAAGAAAGAAGGTGTAACTTTTATTCTCGCTGTAGTTTTGTTGACGCTGCCGCCATGTCGTTAAGATGCTGTGCTTCGTTGTGAAAGCGAAACTACTTTGTTCTTCCAAAAGAGGACAGGACTAGAAATCAGTGGTTAAGTTGTATTTACAACACTGTTCCAGAACACTTCAACCCAAATATTCAGATGTGTGCAGTGCATTTTATGGAGGACTGTCTCCTGATCCTGGGAGAGTAGCGTTAGACTAAAATGCCGGCAGTTCTGACTCACATAAGTACGTTTTTATATTTAAAGGATTTGCCACTGATGATTCAAACGTGAGTTTTGAGCAGTGTAGAGTAGCGCTTGCTGTTTGTCATTTCTCCGATCACAAATGCAGACAGAGTTTTATGTTTACGCGGTGCGATGCAATGCAACGCAACGCGTAAAAAGACAGTACAAGTCATTATAATCAGTAATTATGTCCCACTGGATGCAACAAATGCCTGGTTTATAATGGGTTTTAATGTGTTTGTCTCGTCGCTCCGGCCGGACAGGGCATCATCACAGTATGGTGAGGAGCGTAACATTTCCGTCACACGCTTGAGGTATTCGGCCAATCACAACGCACTGGATAGCTGCCCAATCACAGCACACCTCGCTTTTCAGACCAATGAGCTTTGTAAAAATCTACGTGTTTCAGAAAGGCGGGGCATAGAGGAGAAACAATAATGTACAGTATGTGGAAAATAATGTGTTTTTTTAACTTTAAACCGCATAAACATTTCATTACACCAAATACACAAAATAATGTTCTTTTTAGCAGCATCATATGACCCCTTTAAAAAAAAAAAAAAAAAAAAAAAAAGTAGTATTTTTTTTAGATTGGCCATTATTTAGTAGGGGTGTGACGAGATCTCGTGGCACAAGATCTCGTGAGAACGTGACTATATCCTCGCAAGACCTTTCAGATATATATGCATTACACTGGCTCGTTCACCAATGGTGGCATGTAAGATATTTTGTGTTCACATCAGGCAAGTGGCTGCATGAATAGCGGGAAAATTACGCAGTGTAGTCTTTATCCAGTCATAAAAACAGAAATCACAGTTTAACGCTGAATGTCATGGAATTTGTCAAATGTTGAATGAATTAATCAAAAGTAGGTCATTACACTTAAATCAAATCATGATATGGACTAGCATCTGTAAATATTAAGCCACAAAATTGGATTTAAATATGAATCCTGCATGTTCTGCGTGTGTCTGTTAATGAATGGCGCAGACGTGCGGTTTAATTTACTACACACACACTCGCGGTGACTTCAGCGTCTGCCGTCTCACTAAACGAGGACGTAAACACATGAACAACATCTCCAGAACTGCGTTTGATTTGAGTAAAACTAGCGTCATATCTCATACACAGAACTGTAAAGGTATTCACGGCAACCCGTCAAAATAAAAGTCCGGTTTGATTTGAAGACATTGTGCCTATAACTATTTTTCAGTAGAATGTACATAGCCTACTACTACTACTAAAAATTAAACAAACATTATTTTTTAAGGAATAATTACAAAAAATTTCTTCAATGTTTTAATTTTAATAGTAAATCTCCTGTTTGCAAAAAAATTGTTTGCTTAATCTTCAATAATTAAAAGATAAATGATAAATTAAATTAATGTTTTATGCCTTCATTTGATAACCAGAAAAATGTAAATAAAAATAAATAAATCACAAGGCTACTTTAAGAAAAACAAAATGAATAAATTAAGTTGTTTTATGCATTCAAATAATTAGACATGGTGACAATTAGAATTTGGTAACCATAAAAAATATAAATAATATGGTGAGAAAAAATAAAACATTTCATAGGGCCCTAAACATAACAAACATTAGATTTTAATTAATTAGACATGCTTTTTAAATTAATAAAATGTTATTTAACTATTAAAAAGGAGTTGAGAAAAATTCAAACGGAATTTAGGAACCCATTTAGGCCCTAACTATCCCTCAGCCTTGCCGCACCCCTCAGTTTGGAAACCACTGCTTTATTCTTTAAAATGGATACATTAATCGTGTTTATTATACATGTTTTTATTAAAGTGGAAATCAGTTTACTAAATGTAAACTTGACTGACTGCTTCACTTCCACTTTAAAGGGATATTTGTGTTATTTATTTATACTATTTATAATATTTGTGTAATTACTTGCCTGTCAGTTGAGTTTGTGGCAAAACATTTAGCAGTGTTTACATGTTTATTACTGCATAAAATTTATTAAAATAGATGTTTAATTTCATAAAGTACAAGTTGATTTCAAAATGCACCTACATTTTTTTAATTGTGTTTTTCAGTTGAATAAAATACTATTTTTCCCTATATATTTCATCATTGAGGAATTCTTTAAAAAAAGTCAAATCTTGTCTCGTCCTCGTGAACCCAGTCTCGTGTCTCGTCTCGTGGGATAAGTGTCTCATCACACCCCTACCAATTACAGACAAAAAGTACCTAAACAATGCCAGCAAGGATGCAAGCTTTTATGAAAGGCATAAGGCCATTGTTATGTGAATAAGTACTATATTTGTTTGTTTCAATTTGTTATTTGCCCAATAAATGACAATAACTTTTTTAGGTTTAAACAATTTTTTGACAGATTCCTAAAATATGCGTTTTCTCTTTATGACAGGTGGTCTAATAAATTGTGAAGCACTGTATGATTTCATAGCATTCATTTGGCACGTTTGTTTGAAGGACATTGGGCAGAATGTGGTATAGTGTGTTTTTTTGGTCAGTAAAATAAATGTTTAAAAAATTCGATGTTTAAAAAATTTTTATCCGATTAATTGAAAAAAAAATCAGCCAACTAATTGAGTAACAAAATAAGCGTTAGTTGCAGCCCTTCTGTAATATATTCTGTATTATTATACAGTGTATTGTTTACTGCATTGAGAGGTTTTTTACTTAAAAACTGGCATATCACCTAATACATATCCAAATGAATCAAAATGAAAACCGAATCGAGCCAGCCCCAGTATGTGTGTGTCACTCACAATCTGCGCATGAGTTCAGACGGATACTGGTTCCGGGGGTCATGCGTGTCTGCGGGGTCACGACCTCTGGTCTCCATCATCAGCCGGTGCTCGATATAAACGTCCAAGGCATCCTTCGCCACAACCTACAAAACACACACACAAATATATCGATCAGCGGGCAATATTACTGATACACAGAATCTCAGCTGTGTGAGTGTTTATATCCTGAATGTACGCAAATTACGTTGCTCATTCTTATATCCACTTATATATCCAGCTATATATGAAGACCTGTGTGATAATGGTTTACATTTTTTAACAATCACAAAGCTGTGATTTGTTATGTAGCATATATCATTCTGTGAGTGAACATGGATACAGCTGGATGTTATTTTTGTTTCGTTTTCGGACAGTGGTACAGATCTATAATGTCAGCGGTCACCTCTCGCTCTCGGTACTCTGGCAGCAGCTCGTGAACCGCATCCGCAAACAGTCCGGCGTAACGCTTGCTGTTCTCACACATGCTTTCCACCAGCTCAGGGTCTTCCTCCGCCACATCATCCAGATCCAGCACCAGCGCCACCTGCTCGCGGTGCGCCAGGGACACCTGAAACACACACACAGGTGAGCGGGAGTCCGGCTCGAAGCTGCAGGAACGGAGCAGGCTGCAGATCTCACCAGCTGAGCGCCGTATTTGAACACCTTCTTCCCGGAGTCATCCTCGCTGTAGAACTCCTGCAGGAAGCGCTTGCACTTCTCTGGAACACAGCAGAAAAACCACTATCACACACAGATCTGACGACAGCACGGCTGTGTAAAGCCCCGTTCACACCACAAGCGACTTTTTCGCTGCTTGTCGCTTGCGGCTGGCAATCAGAGCAGGGAGCGGAGTGGTAATAGTTCCTTAAGAGTGCCTTTCTGAAGATTCCGCTCGCTCAATACGCTCAGTGCAGCTTGCTCAACCCAGAATGTCCTTTGGTGATTTGCTTGTTACGAGATCGAGAATCTCTAGAGCTCGAGAATAGTAGAGCAGTTATGGAGTTCAGATATTGTTTCAACGAAGTTGCAAGCCTTATACATAAATGTAAAGTTAAAAAAATCAAAGTTAAGAATGAGCAGGGAGAAGAAACTGAGAGGGAGTGCGGGGAGACTGTTGAAGTTAGTACAGATTCATATTGGAATCTGAAGCGGCACATGGCCAGAAAGCACGAGGACGTGCTACGCAAACATGGTGCAGCAAAAGGTGAGCTAGTTACATACCATAATAAATGAATAAACAGGTAGGCTAAGGTTATATTCGTTTGTACGGAGCCCCGATTGCAGACCAAACGGCTACGAATTTAGAATAGGCTAGTTCTCTTTTATGCTAGGACTATATTATGGCCACAAATTAAGAATTAATTTTTTCGTTTAGTCTAAATTATGGCCACAAATTAAGTATTCATTCTCTTGTTGAGGCTTAGCTGCCACAAATTAATTAGTTCGTTCCCTAGTTTTAGTAGGCCTAAATCGTGGAACGAATTATTATATTTTGTAATTACTCATTAAAATCATTGCTTAAAATTAATAAATAATAATAATAATATTAAAAAAATGATAAAACCTGCTGACGTCGTAGAAACAAATTGTTAATTCGAATTATATTCGGAGCTCTGTAGTTATTAAATAATCTCAGTTAAACTGTAGACCTAAGCTAACACACAGCTGTATATACGCCTAAATACAGAACTACAGAGTACAGAAGATATTATCCTACACTAGTGTTGCTTTCGTCAACGAAAATTATGACTAAATATCGTCGTCAACGAACCTTTATCACGTGACGAAAACGAGACGAGACGCAACGTAAATGCTGGTCATGTGACGATGACTATAATTAAATGTATAATGCAATAATGTTGACAAATAAAAACGAGACAATGTGGTTTACAAAATAAAAACTATGCTAAAATGTCTCTTCATTTTCGTTGACCGAAATGAGACGAAACTAAATGTTATAACGTTATTTCGTCTCGTTATTATTATTATTTTGCAGTATTTCTGTTTCCGGTGTCTCGCTTCAGGGGCTGCATTCATGCTCATCGGAACAGCAGAGTCCACTCAGAAATCCAGCCGACGGGACGCATGGATGTAGTACAGTATTGTTTCTGTCTGCAATAGCCCTGCTGTGCTGTAACATGGTCTGGTATATGAGCAACTCTGGTAACACTGCCCTCTCATTCATTGATCTGCTAACCGTTATGCTCATGTGTCCTCTGATAATAATAGCTTTCTAGGATTAAGCATTATTTGGATAATTGGTAAAAAAAAAAATCTCTTAATAGCCCTACTGTGTGTTAGACCTACCCGAAAAACTAAAAAGCTATTTATTTCATTTGTCGGCCTATCGTGATTTTTAAAATTTGTGCTATCATTAGTAATTTCTTTATTTGTTCTTATTTTATTATTAACTGCTTAGCCTCCTTGTCAGTTTTTATTCAATTCAACATTTTAAATCAAGCTATCTCGTGCTACTGCAACAAAATTACCCAGCTGTAAAATCAAAAATACACTGAGTGAGCAAAACTTTGTTTAATTACCATTATAACTAGCTATCTCACAATGTTTACATATGTATAAAAGCCTACATTCTTCTTTCCTATTGGCTGTCGCTCCCGAAAGTCGCTCTTCATTTGCATAAAGTTGAAGGATTCTGAACTTTGTCGCGTCGCTGGACACGCCCCATCCGGTCGCCAACGGCCGCCGGAAATCGCCAGCTCTACATTGAAATGAATGGGATTATGTAGCTGTCGGTGTGTGTGTGTGTGTGTGTCGCCGACGGGGTGTGTGTGTGTGTGTGTGTGTCGCCGACGGGGGCTGTTTATGACGTCTTGGCAAGAGCGGCGACCAGCTCATAACTCCCGCCACGAGCGCAGCGCATCTAATCACAAGATAAACAAACATCTGAAAGCCAGGAGAAAAGAACCCGATTATATGGGATTCCCGCCTCGGATCTGACATTAATGACACGCCGCTCATTTACACACTAGATGTGCTGCATACTGTATTGTGTATTGCGTAATATACAGTATATTGTGCTCTATATTGTCTGCTGACAATTTATCAATCTGTGTTTAGCAACAAGGTGTTGGATCATGAAAAACACACCTGCACTCTGGCTTTAAGTGTAAACGCAATGTTGCGCTAAATCTACAATCTTCCAGGAAAATAAAACACGTATGAGAAAGAGAAATAAATGTAAGTTATTTATTTAAACAAAGATCAGGTTCAACACTTCAACCAACATCATTTTGAACCATCATGAACACAAACCGGTTATTTCTTGTGCTTTTCTCCTTCAGCTCAGCATTAAAGACAACTGAAGGCTTCGCTCCTGCATGCGTTTCATTATGCCTGAGTTTGACCCTTCATTCTGATGCAGTGTTGCCTGTTACTATGATTTTTTAAAACATTGCTCTGCACACATGAATACCGTGAAACGGCAGAAGTGCAGATGAACACTCACGTGCTGAGATGAGACTGGATGCTCTGAGAGAACGGACTCTGCTGTGAATCACACTCTTCCTCAGGACAGACCTGCAGACAGACGTCAAAGAGTGTGTGTGTGTGTGTGTGTGTGTGTGTGTGTGTGTGTTCACTGCTGCTCGCTGAGTTGAACTCAGTTTCCTCTTGGCGGTTTTTATCTGGAACTCAAAGTCACTTCCGGTCGGATACGTCCTTGTGACATCATCAGCACAAAAGCACTCTGATGTGTGCGGTCACTGGGTTTACCTGTGCGCCTCGGACTCATCCATGCTGCTCTCCAGATCAACACAAACACAAATCAGTTGTTGATCAGCGGCTCAGTGTTGTTCACATCAATCAATCAGCAGACAGACTCCGCACTGAAGACACCGGCAGATTCACCATAAACTGTGAATGGCTTCTACACAGAAAGAGGGCAAAGAGCGCTGCTTTGTTTGTGTGAAGTGTGTATGGATGACAAACCTCTCCCTTGACTTTTGCATCAAAATATTTTTTTTTCTTTTTGTTTCCTTGTGTAAAAGGCATAATTTTACCACACAACAACAGTTTATTAAATAATTACATTTTGAGTCATTTATTCGAGTTTATATATTGTAATATATTGTTAGTCCCCTTCATCTAGTACACACAGCACTTCTACATCATATTTTCATTTATTTTTAATGACTTTTTCCTATTTCCTTTGTTGTTGTTATTGGCATTATAAATGTTTGAAACTAGTATTTATGTGCAAAATCTTGTATGCCTGTCACATTTTATTGACACAAAATTAGATGCTATAAGTTACTGTTCATAGTCTGATCAGAGGTATTTTGCATTATCAGTCATATATTAACAAGTCTGAAGAGCGACTCACCTCAGAATCAGTAAATGAGCAACTTCGGAAGATTTCCAATAACTTATCACTATCTATCGGAATGCGGAGTGCAGTTTTATTGATCTGTGTGAGTGACAGCGCGAAAAACCCTCACTGGTTACCAGGCAGAGCCCGCGGTGGTCTGAACAATGATTGGCTGTTGACTCGGGTGGTCTGAACAATGATTGGCTGTTGACTCGGGTGGTCTGAACAATGAAGTGAAGTCTGATTGGATGAATCCCGCTTGTTGGTGCGGTCCTGATTTTGTGCATCAATGCTGGCAGTCTCTCAACTTTTCGTATTGTTTCATTACCTACATTAATCTTAACATGGTTCCTGACACAACACATACCCCTACACATGTCACTTTTCGACGTAACCTACGCTCACTCTCACCCTCCATGCTATCTGCTATGGTTTCATCTTCGCTTCCTCCCCCTGAACAGTTATCATCTCTTGATGTTAACCGTGCTACTGATACGTTCTGCTCCACTCTTACGTCTTGTTTAGACACTGTCTGCCCCTTGTCTTCCAGGTCAGCTCGTACCACCTCTTCTGCCCCTTGGCTATCTGATGTTCTCCGTGAGTATCGTTCTAAGCTCAGAGCTGCAGAAAGAGTATGGTGCAAATCACAAAATCCTACTGACCTTAATGTATATCGATCACTCCTCTCTTCATTCTCTGCTAATGCCTCCACTGCTAAAAGAGGACATACTATCACAACAAAATTAACAATTCATCTAACTCTCGTATGCTCTTTAAAAAATGTTCCTCCCTCCTTTGTCCTCCTCCTCCTTCATCAACTCTAACAGCTGACGACTTTGCCACATTCTTCATTAATAAAATTACAAACCTCAGTGCACAATTTGCCACACCACAAACTGTCAAACACATCTTACCAGCAAACATACACTC